GCATTTCGATCAATGCCGAGTTGAAGGTGGAAAAATTTTCTGTGGAATTAGCAGACTTGAAGCCACAAATCAGGGTTCTGAATGAGAAGTATGAATCTGTGAAATCTCAAGCCGAAATGTTTGAAACTGAGGCATTGGTGTTAAAGCGAGAGAAAACCGAGTTAGAAGAGAAGTACCATTCTTGCGTGGAAGAACTCGGAAAAGTCAAATTGAGGATCAAAATGGTAGAGAGTGAGGCTGAAACATTGAAGGAACTTATGAATTCGACGAGAGCTGAAGAAGAGGCTGCTTCCCGGAACAAAGAAAACGAAATCCAGAGGCTGTTTCAGGAAAAACAAATCGAAATAGACAAAGCTAAGGGGTGCATCGAGGATCTGGAGAAGCGGAACACGGAACTCGTCGCATTGTTGGACACGAGAATGAAAGAAAAGGAAAAAGAGATTGCAGAGTTGCAGAGAAATGTCAGTGCCCAGAAGGAAAACATTGGTGATATGAGAGTGGAAAACTCTTTCGTGGTTTCGAGTGAAGCGGCAGAAACACCAAAAGTGAAGCGTTTGAAGGTGAAAGCAGAAGAAACTTATTCGGGCTCAGAACTCGGGAAAGAATCGAGTGGTGGTGATGCGGTAGCAGAGGAAGATGAAGAAGATTCAGCCAAACAAGCGAGGGGGGGTGGTCATATAGAGATGATGACTCCGAGAAAATGCACAACCCATGGAGCCATGGCGGCACCATCGGCCGTGGGCTCGGACCACTCCAAGTACACAATGAAGACACTTCGAAGTGAGATAACGAGACATGGGTTCGGGTCTGAGCTGGTTCGGCTGAAGAATCCGAGGAAGAGAGATCTGGTAGATCTCTACGAACGGTGTGTCCTTCGCAAGGAATGATTTACATGAACAAGAAGATCCTCCCTTCTTGTTCTTGTTTTTTTTTTTTGTGGATTTGGAGATTATGAATAGCTCGTCTTGTCATGATGAGGAACCTCAAGTTACTTTTTTCTTTTGTAGGCTAAGGCTTTGTTTGGTAGTGTCTATGTCGGAAAAAAAAAGATTTAGTTTTTGATGAAGTTATAACGAATCCAAACTGTGCAAATATTTTCCATTAAATGATGATCGTATTCCTACCATTTAAATTTTATGTGAAAAAATGTTCTTCATTTCAAAGTCTAAGGACGATATATATTGTTTATAAATTAGCAATAACGCAAGTGAATGGATTCCGACGAGGGCGGGGTTTGTTTTATCCGTGTGCCCAAACAACCTGAATGAGCCGCAAAATAAGTGGTTGGATTTAATACTACAAGATGAAAGGCCCAGTCCGGATCCAAACACACAAGTCCAAGCGACAGAAATATTATTTTTTAAAACAAAAGGGAAAATAATTTTCTTGATTTTTTAGAGAGAGAAACAGATTGAGAAGCAACGATTCGTGAATCAAAATCCCTCGATTTTCCAAAAACCCACAAAAAAAAAGAAACAAAAGAAAAGAAAAGAGCATCTGACAATTCACCAAACTCTCTCTTTCTCTCTCTCTCTGGGGTGTTAAATTAAATTCTTTTTAACCCTTTTCTCCTCGTTGAATTTCCGAATGCAAAGTCGGGTTTTTTTTTTCAGGGTGTTGGAAATAATAATTGGAAAAAGGGCAGAATTGGTGATTATGATGGAAGCGAATAGTCAGACAAGCACTGTTGTTGTTGTTCGTTCGTTTGTTGTTCTTCACGATTTCTTCTTTTTAATTTTAATATTTATATTTTCGAGTTTATTAATGATCTTGTCGAAATTGCTTTCGTTCATAATGTTTAATGTTTTCGACATTATTTGTGAAATTCCCAATCACATTCGTAGAGAGAGAGAAAGTTTTTCTTTTTGGTTTTTGGTGGATTTTTATTCCTCCTTGCGCTCCCCTTTTCGTCAAACCCAAAATCGAGAGGTGTTCGTGATGGTGTTTCCTTTAGAGAGAGAAACCCCAGAATCCTCCTTTGTTTTTAGAGAGAGAAATTCCTGATCTTTCCCTTCATCTGTTTGCCCTCCAAGCTTTGATCCTTCTGCTTCCCCCGAAGTATTGGCACCGCAAGTAAGTTTTTCCGGACCAATTTTGCTTCTCTGGGCAGTTTTTACTCCTCTGGTTTTGATTTTAGGGTTTCATTTTTGGGGATTTTGATTCATTCTGGTTTTCAAGGTGTGCAGCAATGGAGGCTGGCGCTGAAGCGGAGAATAACAAAACGCCTGAAGGTGGCGAAACCAAGTCGTCCAAGAGGCAAATGAAGACAGCTGCTCAGCTCGAAGTTCTGGAAAATTCCTACGCCGGTTTGTTCACTTCTATGTTCTCTTTTTTTTTTTCAATGTTCTTAAAGTTCATATTTTTCTTTTGTCGTTTTGAGCTTTGTATCCACTCTCGCGATACTCGTTGGGTTTCAGTTGAACCTTACCCTTCTGAATCCACACGAGCCGAGTTGTCTGTCAAACTGGGCCTGTCCGATCGGCAACTACAGATGTGGTTTTGCCACCGGCGGCTGAAGGACCGGAAGCAGACTCCGACCAAGCGCCAGCGAAAGGACTCTACGGCCGCCAATGCCAATGAGTTGGCGGCTGCAGTGGAGGCGGGAAATGAGCCCACGTCATTTGGGAATGAGTCTGATCCTAGAAGAGCTGTGATGAGGTCATCAACTACAGTTCCAAGGGTCGGAGGTGATGTCATGGTCGCTAGGCAGTACAATGAGCCTTCCCCTGAGATGGATATGGCGGCTGAGTTTAGGGCCATTGCCTTTGTGGAGGCTCAGTTGGGAGAGCGGTTGAGAGAGGATGGGCCGATTCTTGGGATGGAGTTTGATCCTTTGCCTCCTGGTGCATTCGGGATGCCTATTGGTACATTACATTCACCTCTTCTCTTTATTGTGCTTTCGCATTTGTGTTTCAACTATCTTTTTCCAGATAGAGCTATGTTAAATAGAGTTGTACTTATACCTTAATCAGTTTGGCTTGTTATTGAATTGGAATTGTAATTAACGCCTGTTCGAGTTTAGCTAATAGCTACACATAGTATATATTCTCAATTTGATTTGATAGATGACCCTTAGCGATGCTGCGATTCTTTTGATAAAACTTTTCACTCTAATTCACACTAATTACCATGGTGGGAAGTTATATGGACTTAAAGTAGAGTTTTCTTGGGTTGCTTTCGTCTTCTTCTGATGGTGTAAGTTATAGAAATATGTAGTGGTGATTGTATCATTGGAGATGGTGCATATATGGTACTGTACTTTCTCTTTGTTGGTGATTGATGCAGTTAATCCTGCATCTGAACTATTTAGTGTGAGGCTTATGTTTAATCCAAATAAAAATTACTGTGTTTGGTTGGAGCAGAAATGCCAAGTCACCGCAAGCCACATGCGCAAGCTTTTGAGTCCAACTTATATGAACGGGCTGATGCAAAACCTGTCAAGGTTACCTTCATTAACTTTGCACATATTCTGTGTTTCTCAAGTCTTTTGTGATTGTTTTCGCCAAAATATTTGTTCTTTCCTGTTTGTCATCACTATAAGCCAAAATTTTTATGATTGCACTTTAGGATTATGTTAGGCCAGTTCGTGAATACCAGTTTCTTCCCGAGCTGCCATCTTCAAGGACTGATCTTTCCGAAAGAGTGTGTCTCCATCGCATCACTCTGGGGTGCCGCTTGACGCTTCAATCATAAGGGCTTCATCAGTGTCTGGTGGACACCCGTATTCACACCGCGATGAGAATGTACCCTATGGATATGGTTATTCAACTCAGATACCGAATCTCAATTTATCATCTCACCAGCCCAAAGTGGGGAATGTCTTCTCGCCTAGTTCTGGAGAGTACGATTCAGCTCCCCGGAAGAACTACATGGGTGATGCTGCCCATGGGAACTTTGACACTCACCCAATTCATACAGTTGAGAATTCTTTTGTGATGTCTGAGAGAAAAGCTGGTAATGACGATGATGTCATGCGACTGGAGAGGAAACGCAAGGTGGGAGAAGCAAAGGATTGCAGTTGAATTTCATATGGTTTTGCTGCCGGGCATTGCCCTTAACTTTGTTGATATGTTTCTTGTAGAGTGAAGAAGCAAGAATAGCTCGGGAAGTTGAAGCTCATGAGAAGAAGATCAGGAAGGACCTTGAGAAACAAGATATGCTGAGGCGAAAGGTCTTGTTTTGTTTGACATACCAAACCCATCTCTATCTGTTATTTTGCTTTCTACATTGATGTTTGTTGGATGTGCAGAGAGAGGAACAAATAAGGAAAGAAATGGAAAGGCAAGATCGTGAAAGGCGGAAAGAGGAGGAACGACTTTTCCGTGAAAGGCAGAGAGAGGAGGAGAGGTACCTCAAGGAGCAGAGGCGTGAGATGTTGCGAAGAGAGAAGTTCTTAATAAAAGAAACGATTAGGGTAATGAAATCTAAGCTGCTTTAAGCTTCCCGAAATTTAGGTAAAATGTAATTCTCAATGTGCTTTTTGATATGATCAGGCTGAGAAAATGCGGCAAAAGGAAGAATTGCGTAGGGAAAAGGAGGCAGCAAGGCTTAGAGCCGCTAATGAGAGGGCAATTGCTCGTAAAATCGCCAAGGAATCGATGGAACTCATTGAAGATGAACGCTTGGAACTCATGGATTTGGCTGCTTCTAGTAGAGGCTTGCCTTCTATGCTTGCTCTTGATTTTGAAACTTTACAGAATCTTGACACATATAGAGGTGGGTCAAGTTTAACATTTCTATCATAAATTTTTATCTTAATTTTTTCTCTGTAGTTTCTTGGAGCTGTATGTATGAATTGTATTTTGTACCCATCTGATGAATCATTTTCTTTCAGATAAGCAGATGGCATTCCCACCAACATCTGTGAAATTAAAGAAGCCCTTTGCGATCAGACCATGGAATTGTTCTGAGGAAAACGTCGGAAATCTTCTTATGGTAAGCTTTATCTTTCGGCATGACTTGTAAGAGATTTTCAGCCAATTTGAATAGTTTTTTTTTGGTTTTCCAATTTGAATAGTTATGATGAAGATAACAGAATAAAGAGCAATAATTGGATTTTGAACTTTCTGAAACCAGTTTTGTTTGCTAGATCTGCAATAGTTCTTTAGTAATATTTTTTCCCGAAGGTCATTTTGTCCTTTTATAACTTTTCTCCTCTTCCTATGATTAACTTTCTGGCTTGGATGAAACTTTCTAGGTATGGAGATTCTTGATCACTTTTGCAGATATTCTTGGTCTTTGGCCATTTACTCTGGATGAGTTTGCTCAGGCTCTCCATGACTATGTAAGTTTTTCCCTCTTTCTTCATTTCAGCATTTGGCCTCTGTCTAACCTTTTGGGTATAGATTCAAGAGCATGGCTTATCTTAACTTCGTCTTGTTGGCCATATAAGTTTCACTTTGAATTTTGTAGGACTGCCGGCTGATGGGAGAGGTGCACATTGTTCTCTTGAGGACTGTAATAAAAGATATCGAGGATGTTGCAAGGGCAATGTCCATCGGGGTTGGAGCCAACCAGAATGCTGCTTCAAATCCCGGAGGGGGTCATCCTCATATTGTCGAGGGTGTAAGTTGTTTCCTTTCATCTTTTCTTTTAATTATTACCGTATAAATTTTTTCTCCGTATAACGTTTGCTTGCGAATTAGGCGTATGCATGGGGGTTTGCCATACGATGCTGGAAACACCACCTAAATACTTTAACTTGGCCTGAAATCTTGAGACAACTTGCTCTATCTGCTGGGTTTGGGCCGCAACTGAAGAAACCATATATCGAACAACTGTCCACTCATGAAGACAATGAGGTGGGACATGTGTCCTTATCACTTTTGAAACTTTGGCCTTTCTGTAATTTTTTCATTGCCGTTATTCCTCTTCCTACTGTTGTATTTGTGATTTTTGTTATTCCTTGTTTCCTCGACTGCAGGTCAACAATTCTGAGAATGTTATTTTTAGCCTACTGAATGGAATAGCTGCTGAGAATGCTTTTGCCAAAATGCAAGAAAGGGGCTTTTCTAATTCTCGACGTTCTCGGCATCGCTTGACTCCTGGGACTGTTAAATTCGCTGCTTTCCACATACTATCTCTTGAAGGGGAGAAAGGTCTTACGATTCTTGATGTTGCAGAGAAGATTCAGGTAAAGATGTTCTAAGACTGTTTTCCCCTCGATTCAGTATCATCAGTTTCCTTCTTTTTCTGTCTCATCCTGATGTCTTCGTTGACTGTAGCAATCTGGATTGAGGGATCTAACCACAAGCAAGACTCCGGAAGCGTCGATAGCCGCTGCATTGTCTCGGGATACAAAACTCTTTGAGAGGGTAGCACCTTCAACTTACTGCGTGCGTGCTCCCTATAGAAAGGATGCGGGTGATGCTGAGGCTATACTTGCCGAAGCAAGGGAGAGAATCCGGATATTCAAAAGTGGAGCTACTGATGTAGAAGACGTTGAAGATGCTGAGAGAGACGAAGATTCTGAGAGTGATGTTGGAGATGACCCTGAGGTTGATGATCTGGGGGCAGATTTAAACCCTAAAAAGGAAGATCCAGGTGCTCAGATGACAGAAAATTCAATCAATGTAAAACCCATCTCTGAAGATGGGACATTGAGTGCTGAGGATGGGAAAAGTGAACTGGGGTTGTCTCTTTCTCGATTTCACTCTGACGACATTAAAGATGAGAAAAAGGAAAGGAATTCAGTCGATATGAAAGAAGAGAAAGAAGAAAGTAGTGTAGTTCGTATGGAAGGGGAGACAAAAGTAAGTAGTTTAATCGATCAGTCTGTGGAGGATGCAGGAACAAATGATGAGAAGACTTGTATGGACCAAGAAGATGTTTGTTTCGACGAGGGCAAACTCGGGGAATCATGGGTTCTAGCACTAATAGAAGGAGAATACTCAGATCTCAGCGTTGAGGAACGTCTAAATGCACTTGTTGCTCTGATTGGTGTTGCGATTGAAGGAAACACAATCCGAGTTGCACTTGAGGTATTGGCGTCATTAGAATTTTCATTACTTCATTTTTTTCGGTTAGAGCTTCTGTTTTGTATATTTCAGAGTTTTGCATACCTTTAAACGCCTTTATCTTCTGTTTTCTCACACACTTGTCTGGATTTGTGAGGCTGACAAAACGGTTTTAACGTTGTAATGTGTATGTCCTGTCTCAGTTTGCAGTGTCATTGTCTGTTGTGTTTGTAGTGACCTGACCAATAATAAATTCCGTGTTATGTGCAGGAACGTCTGGAAGCCGCAAGTGCATTGAAGAAACAGATGTGGGCAGAGGTGCAACTTGACAAACGCCGGATAAAGGAAGAGTTTTTTATCCGTACGGATTTCCCCGGAACCAAGCCAGAGCCTAATATCACCTTCCCTGTATCCGAGGAACGAAAAAGCCCATCATTAGCCATTGCTGAGAGAAACAATGACATGCCTTTGGATCAAAACTCATCTCGGGAGCATTTGAGTTTTGCTCAAAATGATCGGTGTGAGATTAATAATGTGCAGAAACAAGAAGCTCGGTCTGGAGCGGATAATTTCCAATATCAGCAACAGGGTTATGTTGCAGACAGGGAAAGGCTGCGTGCTCAGTTAAAAGCATATGTCGGTTATAAAGCTGAAGAGCTTCATGCATATAGGTCTCTGCCGCTAGGTCAGGATCGCAGACGCAATCGCTACTGGCGGTTCACTGCATCTGCTTCTCGGAGTGATCCTGGGTGCGGTAGGATCTTTGTTGAACTACACAATAACCGCTGGAGGATCATTGATTCCGAAGAGGTACATACATTACAGCATTCATGTTCTTTGTGTATATATCGATTTTTGCTAAACAAAAAAAGAAAAGGGTTTTTATGCATTGGATACAGTTTCTTGAACATTTGAAGTTAGACGGATGTTAAATACAGGCTCTTGGATATTTGGATTTCTGACCTTGATTTGATGAACCAATGTGCTTTTTTACAGAGTTTCGACTCGTTGATTAAGTCATTAGACGTTCGAGGCGTAAGAGAATCGCATTTGCACTTCATGTTGCAAAAGATCGAACCTTCTTTCAAGGAAGCCATCAGGAGGAATGCTGTCCGAGCTTCTACAGACGGAACACGTAAAGACGTTGCCCTTTACACGACATGTTCTAACCTTGGTAGCCCAAATGGCAGTAGTGTCTCGGGCTTGGATTCTGATACTTGTGAGATCTCCACAACGTTCAATATCGAACTGGATGGTAACAAAACTGAGATACAGAGTGGGTTGAAACGATACCGGGAGTTTGAGAAGTGGATGTGGGAGAATATGTTGCGTTCGGATATGTTATCTGCATACAAGTATGGAGTCGGGAAAGGCAAACCGCCGCTTCTCTGCATATGCAGCTCGTGTGGTGAAATCTACTTGACCGAGGGTGCGCATTGTTTGGGTTGTCGTCAGCAACTTAGTCCTGGCACGAGGGAATTGTGTTTTGCGGAACAAGTTGCTCGTCTCGGAGACTCTGATTTCGTTTTGCGTGGGCCAGTCTCGTGTCTGCTCAGAATCCGATTGATCAAGATTCAGCTCGCACTGGTCGAGGTAAGTGTCTCAGGCTCCTAATCGGATTATAAAGCCTTATTATCTGCCAATAATGCTCAGAATTCTGTGTTCACCATTGGCAGGCTTCTCTTCCACCCGAAGCACTTAGAGCCATTTGGACGGAAAACTCGAGAAAATCCTGGGGGTTGAGGCTGCTTTCATCGAAAACCCCTGAAGATCTTCTTCAGGTTTGTATTTTTTCGATATCGAGGACCTTTCGTGTGATATTTTTATAAAACCTGAATGCTCCATGAACTTCGCTTACAGGTTCTGACAACCTTGGAGAGTGTCCTAAAGAAGGACTGTCTTTCCTCGAACTTTGAGACAACCTCTGAACTTTTGGGTTTATCGGAGGAGGAACATGATCCTTCTGCAGTCTGCGGATCGATTTCTGTGCTGCCATGGATTCCGAAAACAACCTCGGCTGTAGCTTTGAGACTCTTTGGACTTGACTTCTCAATCTCCTACACTCCCAATCAGAAGACCGATGCACATAAGGGCAAAGAATCTGAAGATTTCATAGTGAGTGTCGTATGATATCTTTCCGCTACTGATCGGTTAGCATTACCGTAGATCATATCGTAACGTTGGTGCATGAATATTTTCGCTGTTTGTGTTTCGTGCAAAGGTTTCCGAGGCGAATGTTCTGAGAAATACCCGAGACAATGACGCAACAACCGAGATTCCATCACGAGCTATTTATTCTCAGGAAGAGAATTGGGAGGAGGCAAGCATAATAGGTATCTCGGGCTCGGGGCGTGGGAGACCACGTGGGCGGGGCCGGCCCCGTTCCCGAGGTGGAAAGTCGGCGAAAACTGGTGGCAGATCAGTTTTGGGTAGCAGACGAGCTGCAGCAAATTCAAACGGAGAGGGACTGGAACAGTCACTGAGGCGGAAAGCTCAGTCACGTGTTCCTGCAGGAGGAGGCCGAAAGCGTGGCCGACGCAGCACCCGGACGCGCAAAAGGCCTACAAAGGGCGCTCTCGGGATATCCAACAACGGAGAACTTCATAACACGGGCTTGTCGGGGGCAACACCACCCGCAATGCAAGAGGACAATGACTGGAACGAAACTCCGGAACCACATGGAGGGGAGGAAGCCAGCAGTTCGGGAAGATCGTTCCAGTACAACTACGATGACGGGCAAGCGATTGTAGATGAATACGATGATGGTTTCGACGACGGGAGTTTGGGTAAAGTGGTGGGAAGGGGTGAATTTAACTTGCATAGCGATGAAGAATACGAAGAGGAAGATCGAGAGAATATGAATATGGACGCTGTTGGGTTCGGGAATGAGGATTCGGACGGGGAAGAAGCCGGAAATGCGTATGATCGGAGCATCGATGGCCGGAAAACGTTCCCATACGAAGATCCTCATCTCACTCCGTCGTCTTCTTCTTCATCCGGCTTCAGCGACTGATTGACTGCCATGCAGTTTTTTTTTTTTTTTGGTATTCTTCACATTCTTGACTTAGTTATTACTGCAACGTAATTGCCACTGTAATTGTCATTACCCTCGTCTTCGTATAAGCTTTTTTATGGTCCGACCTGGCAGACACTCATACACACACTTGTATATATATATATATATGTAGATATAGACACTGCAAATAAACGCTGTCTGAGGCAGTGTGTATATATATATATATATATTACTTGTATATGACTATGAAACATATATTTGTCCCTTAAACGGTTAATATCGGGGTTTGTTGTTAATCTAATGGTAACAACTAACAACGACTCTCTCTGTCCGCTATCAGACAGAGCACTCCTCACCTCTCGTATCAAAGCAAAGACAAAACTATCTTTTTTTAAATATATATATTTTTGTCGACAAAGGGAAGACAAAGCTATTTTCTCCACATATCTCCATCTCCACGTTGTTATATAAAAATATCATCATATCTTTAACAAAAAAAATAAATAAATATAATTTTATATTTGCGTTCATTTACTCAACCATTCATCGATTTTTTTTTCTTTTTTTTTGGCTGGTTAAAAAATGGATATGATATATTTGATAAGGTTAAATAGAAACTACTCCTTTCTTTTGTTAAATTAATATATATATATATATATGTATAATTAAATTAGAAATATAAATCGTTAATCTAAAAGTAGGTGAGCTTTCGCGTTTAATAGTACAAGAAGAGGGGCCTAAATCCCATGCACTGTATGCTCGTGACGCTCTCTTTTTTATAATATATAAACACGTCTGTACACCTTCATATGTGTTTATATATATATATATATTAGAATTTGTGATTTTATTTTTAAAATTTTATTTTAATTTATAAAGGAACTTTATCCGAATTTGCCTCTCGAGATATATATATACAAAAGGTCAACTTCAGCGCCCCACTCGTTCAACGTCTTGTCTCTATCATTATGTCTATTATTATGTAAAAATCTTTTCATATCATTTTATAACCTTTTTTCTAAAATAAATACAATAATTTCAGTTTAATTTTGTTCAAAAGTTTCTGTTTCTCTCTCTCTCTCTCTCTACTCCTGATTTAAACGTTTAAATACAATAATTTCTGTTTCTTTCTAAAAAAAATTAACATTGGGATTTTTTTTAATAGAGTATCATATGAAAAACAAAAAAAAAACAAATTTGGTACCAACGAAATGTTACATTATGAAAATCAAAGTATTGCAGAAGTAGATATAAGGAGAATATATTTAAACAAGTCGAAGTATAACAATAAAATTACAAAACTATTTCTAATTGTTTCAGATATTAATGTTTTTCTTTTTTTTTTTTTTTTGGTTGAGACATTTGACGAAAATTGTATTTTTTTTTTCATGTACATAACACTTGGCATATGAAAATGATGCGTATATCCTTTAGTGAAAGAGGGAACATGATTGACAGCTTTATATATTATAATCCCCAAAAATTTGGACTCCACATAACCCAAAGAAATATAAAATTGAAATAAAATAAATAAGACACCAAAACAAACAAATGAACAATAATGTAGCCAGAACCCATTGCATGCCAATTTCTTATTTCATATATACACACATTGATATGTCCCTACAGAAATATGTGGTTGCGATCGCCTCATAAATAATAATACTATAATGTACATTTGAATATTCAAACAACAAAATATCACGTATGTATATGCGTGAATATAAATATCGATGTTAATGATCTATTAGATATATCAAATTCAAATCTGAACTCTGTACTAGCGGATTTCATTCGAACTAAATTTAACAGTAATAAATTTTGTATTTTTTTTTATCAAATATATCATTTGGATGTCTCTCATATTCCAAATCATCCATGGAATTTTCATTTTTTTTTTGTATTTATGGTTGGTCCTTTTTTTATTTTATGCAGAAAAGCTACTAATATGTTAATAATTTCCACAAGATGTCTGTGGTTTTAAGTAGACATGACATGATAATCATGTGATGAAATGTACAAATAAAAAAATAATTACACTTTTTACCCCAAAAAAACCATTAATTACACTTCACGACTTGAACAAGATTACTAATTACGCATCATGGAAAAACTCTCTCTCTCTCTCTCTCTCTCTCTCTGTCTCTCTCTCTCAACCACAAAATTTTGCTGTGAGAAACAGATATAGCGACTGAAGCATATATAAAAATGTACATAAGCTTTGGAACTGTCTGCATCCGTCTACACATATACACACACACACATACTGTACATATATGTGTATGTACAGACCTAACTGATTTCACTGTGTTTTCTTAAATTGAAGTCTCTCTCTCTCTCTTTCCTAAACTCGAATCTCATCGGCGTGGTGTTTCAAGATATGATGTTGGCAGCCGCATCTCCGCTTATACACACCGCAAGAGATGGTCATCGGAGTTCGCCCGCCGCGGTGGTGGACTTCGCCGGTTTTACGGCGGAAGATTTGCCGGAATTCTCGGCCACCGGGAAAGAGGAAGAGAGCAGCCTCGATCTTCTGGAAGGAATCGATTATTTCGATTACCTTTTCGTCGGAATCGGACAAGGTGACGAGTTGCCGGACCTGGAGATAGATCCGGAGATGCTCGGGGAATATTCCGGCGGAGGAAGGGACGATACGGAGGCAAACACCTCGACGGAGACGGCGGAGAAGGGCGGTGGGAGTAAGCCGGAGGTTACAAGCAACGCTGACGGAGACGGTCATACGGTCAAAACGGTGCGTAGAGGCAAGAACAGCAAACACAGAGGCAAGAACAAAGACGGCGATAAAAGCGAAGCGAAGAAAAAACCCAAGGTACTCTTCCTATAATTAATTCTTGTGATTTTGGTGTGTATATATATGTGTATATATATATATATTATTAATTTAGTTATGTTTTTTCGTGTGTTCATACAAAGTACAAACGAATCCAGTCAAGTACCATACCGTACCAAACCACACCCAAATCTGAACATGTTAGATCCAGTGATTTATTACAGTTACAAGAATATCTGGATTGTGTTCGATATATATATAGTTAGTTATATATACATGGCTAAATTCTGTGATGGGGCCCGGTGTGTATATAAAAAGGTGGATTGGACGCCGGAGTTGCACCGGAAATTCGTGCAGGCGGTGGAGCAGTTGGGAGTGGAGAAGGCGGTGCCCTCCCGGATTCTTGAGATTATGAATGTTCAATCTCTCACCCGTCACAACGTCGCTAGTCATCTCCAGGTATATATATATATATTTATACATGTACTAACCTGGTATTATGTCGTGCAAACAAAATTGATTAGGGTTAATTAGATACATGTCCTACTCAATGCATTCGAGTGGAATATCAATATTGTACTCCATAGACATCATTGCTTGTGTTTTTTGTTTGTTGTGGGGTGTTTGGACCTCGTGTTTGTTGTGTCCGAAGTCAGTGAAACATGTAGGAACGCTCAGAAAATTGTGTCTGTGGTTTCATTTTGTTCACATAATCTCTTGTTTAATAAAGAAAAACAAAATTAACGGGCGTACCCTTATAATAGAAGTATAGGTCACACCGGAAGCATTTGTTGGCGCGTGAAGCAGAGGCGGCAAACTGGAATCTCCGGCGACAAGCCACGGTGGCCGGAGGAGGAGGAGGGGGGAAGAAGCCATGGGCGGCTCCCGCCTTAGGCTACCCCCACGTGCACCACTTCCCCAGGCCTTTGCACGTTTGGGGCCATCCCACGTGGCCCAATCACAAACCTCCCGTTGCCTCCGCCGCTCCGCCGTCATGGGCGGTTCCTCCGGCGACTCCGAACCCTACCTACTGGGCCCACCAGCAACCAGTCTATCCACAGGTAAGTGTCATCGATCCGTACTTAGATCAGATCAATGATGAATTCATACAAATAATAAATTTTCATGGGCTTATAATTATTATGTGTGTGTTCATTCATGGCATAGGGATATGGAATACCGCCGCCGAACCACAGAATATATAAATCAGAGACGAGTATTGGCGTACCCACCGCACCATTACGCCCCATCGACCTTCATCCCGTGAGTCTTCCTTCATTTTTCACCTCATCCCTTTATTTAATATTTTTTTTGGGTAATCGGGAGTTGTGGACCGAGATACAAACTAATCTTGCGACCGGATCAAGCCATATGGTTAGAACATGCACTCTCTTTCCCAACTTGAGACTCGAATTTGGTTTCGAGTCCTCACTTGGAGATGGACATTTACATGGATTTTTCCGATTATTTGGAAGATCTAGTTGGGCCAAAGGTTTCGGGTGATTATTATAAAAAAAAATTGTCACTTTTATTCGATGTTAAATTCATAATCATAACTTTATAAAACGGGCCGTTATATTTCAATCTAAATTATAAAAGTTGGATTTTGGGCATTTGAAAATGGGCCACCCAAAACGGTCCATTCTTTCCATCTTATTTTTTTTAATGGAACGTAATATATTGTTTTGAGAGTTGAAATTAATAATATAGTATAATATAAATATTGTGGTTTTTTTTCTAATAATGATGAATGGTGCAGTCGAATGAGAGCATAGACGCCGCTATAGGAGACGTTATGTCGAAGCCGTGGCTGCCGCGTTGCATCGTCAAGGCATTTCCAAGATCCCTCCTCTTCCTTCACACTGAACAAATTCGACGAAATCACTTTTTTACTTTTTTTTTTTTGGTCGTTCTACGTATTTTTGCAAGGAAAAAAAAAAGAGAAATCTCCTTGTTGGACTAATAACATTCGTTAACTTATAAACGGTCCAAATCATCATATGATATGACTCGGGGGGTTATATGATATGTGCATTGCGATTAAAACACAAGTTACCGAAATCCATAACAATGACTCTTGAACGCTAATGATGTTAACGTTCTGTTCACATCCATCCGTATAATTGAAAGAATTCCATCATAGTTGATAATTTATTTATTTTTTTTACTGATCTTTTTATATTGTTTTTAAATGAATGTTCCGTCCGTTTTTTTTAATAGATGTCGATTTAGAAAATATTTTTTGTTATTTAATAGATATCGTTTTAGAATTTTTAAATATTTTTTTAAAAAAATTTATAATTTTATCTTTAATTAAAAATATCCAACTTCATTAATATTAAGAACATGGTTTAACGATGATATATATATATATATATATATACATATATATATATATATATATATATATATGTCGGTGTAGTTATACAAAAAGAGGCAGTACAATTTTCGGAAAATGTAAATGACTGTAAGCAAATAAAAGAAATATTAGAATGTTTACAACGGTTATTTACTAATTTACACAATAAGTAATGAAAGAAACTGGAATATATATCGAACTAAAGGCGGATACAAGTTAAAGAAATTAAGTGGGCCGAAACAGGGGGTGGTCAATTTGGGTTTTGGTTCGGGTTCGGTTCGGTTATATTCGGATTCGGTTATTTCGGTTATAGAAAAACTATAATCGTTCGGTTTTTATATAAACTTCGGTTCGGTTCGGTTCGATTTCGGTAAAGGGTTTAGTTTTTCAAAGAAATTGTTGGGTATTTTCTCGATTTTTTTGGTTATTTTTTATTCGGTTCAGTTTGATTTCGGTTTTTTCGGATTTAAGAAAATCATAACCATTCAATTTTGATGTCGAGTTCGGTTCGGGTATGGTTATGTCTTATTCGATTCGATTCGACTCGTTTATTCGGTTAATAACCGAAATGGCCACCCCTAGGCGGATGAACGATTTAACCCGAGCGATTTAACCTTTTGGTTATAAAAAGAAAAAAGAAAAAGATTTTTTATTTATTTTTTTTTAATATCTTGGGTTTCTTTGGTATAATTAGTACCGATGATCACGGGGACAAAAAGCTCTCTGATTGCTTCAATTCCAAACCAAGAAATCAAAAGAGGGGGAAGACCAAACAGCAAGCAAACACAAGCATTGTCCTTAATAGAGAAAGAGATGAAGAATCATTGGATTTCTCATTATTCAACATGTAACATTACAATATTTATAGCAGAAACAAAATCATAAAATATCTTATTTAATAAATATAAATATCTAAAATATAGAAATAAAATCAAATCTAAATATTACGTAATCTTCTCAAATCTTCTTCATATCTCTTTATACGCCCCCTCAAACTCAAGGAGATGAGAAACAACTGTTTGAGGTTGAATTCTCCAGAAAATAACGGGATTTGACAATCGAACCTAGGAACCGGTGGATTGTTGGCGGATCTGAAAAAGTCCGGTGAAGCAGAAGCGTGGTGCACATGCACGGTATTGTGGGGTTGTGCGACAGCAATGTCGGCAGCGCAAAAGGCGCGATGGTTTAGCGGTTATGCCGGAAAAAGAAAATAAATGGTGCAAATGTATGGATCGACGATCGGAGTATTCCAATCGAAGAGGTTAAAAGCCGGATTCAAAGGCTGATGTGGCACGGATGTGCGGCGCATATGCGCGAGTTGGGTTGCACGACAATGAGGTCGGCAGAAAAAAAAAAGAGTAGCACATCGGCTAGGGTTGACAGTGATAAACACCGTCGTCGGAAAAAAATGGAAAAAAAAATGAATGGAAGACGATACTCAAGGTGATGATACTATTGAAGTTAGTATATCATCGTCATCTTCATCATCGTTTTCGGATTCAACGAACATCGTTGATATAAAAAAAAATATTTAGAACAAAAACCGAAACTCTGATACCATAATAGAGAAAGAGATGAAGAATCATTGGATTTCTCATTATTCAACATGTAACATTACAATATTTATAG